GAGTTATTTTGCCAATATCATCAGTTCAAAAGAAAACACACATGTGACAACAGTTATTGTACCCACAGCATGCCCACTTTTTGCAGAAATTAGGCCAAAACTTGGGTGTATTATGTTATGAAAGTGATAGCCAAGAAGTAAACGCCAAATCCACTATGCTTACGTCAAGCTATTTCACTTGAGAACTGTCTAATGCTTTTGCATTCCTCAGGAGCAAAGGACGGGCATGATTTGTGCTGTTTGACTCGTACAAAGTCCCCTGTCAAATTCAAGTACCAAAACAAGAAGCTTAGGACCCAGTCAACCAGAATTTCTCATTTCTGGTACTTTAGCTAGTTTCTGGCGATTTAGCACAATGCTTTTTTTTACAGACCACTGGGTTTCCCGTCGTGATATCTATGAAATTAATGGCAAAACTCCCACTGACAAATAAGTCCTTTGCACAGTGTTGCATAAACCTGCAACTACGTCCTCACCTATACATAAATCTATATATTTTCAACTAATTTCTGTATGTAGTACATAAAATAGGTCTACTGGAGCTAGCTGTTACATACGTGTTTATTCTGCACTTTCAGAAGTTATGTAATACTGTAAAAAAATGCTGTCTAATACTCACTCACCAAAAAAACCCCAGAAATCTAATTCTTAACAAGACAGCTTCTGGTCCTTTAAAAAAAAAATGGATGTAGTAGTACTGCCAGAGGGAAGGTGGTTGCTGAAAAAGCCTGGGGATAAAGTTAAACAGGGGCAGCTTTTAGACCAGAACTGAGGATGCTAAGAATTCCTGTACTCTGTGCCCTAGTGGTACCTTTAATTAAAGCTCGCCCTTGGGAGCCAGCCTAATCCCCCTCCGAACCGCAGCACGTTTCAGACATCCCCAGCCTCCCCCGTTGCCATGCGGTCCATTTGCAAGTCTTTACAGCAACTTTCGGTCTAATTTCAACCCGCTGCAAGGCAGAGAGAGGAGCCGCGGATGCAAATGCGGGCTCTGACGGAGTTCACATGAACACCACCCCCCCCCCCAGCTCAAAACCAAATAACTGCCGCTGCCTTTTCTTTCCCCCCCGCCTTCTACCTGCCCCGAAGGGCATCTGGAGGGGGGGGACACGGGAGCCTGGGGGTCGGCTCCTGGGGTTGTCTCAGCCACACGCGAAAAGCTGCGCAAACACACACGCACCGGGGGGGAATGGAGCCCTTTGTGGAGCGCTGCAGAGCGCGGAGCTGGGCTTTTTTGGGGCCGGGAGCTCAGCTGTAGTGCTTGTGTTGGCATCCGGATGCAAACCCTTCGCCGGATCACATGTCCTGGCTCCAGCGTGCTGAGAACTGCACAGTGCCGTGATTCACATGTGGCAGTCCCTAA